TCCACCATATGTCTTCCATTCTTATATGTCTTCCAACACCAGTTATTTCTTCTTTTCCTACTTCTGCCTTCCTCTACGTCTCCCTCAAAGCTCCCTCCCCTTTAACCTATCATCCCCATCCTTCCCCTCTATTTTCTCGTACCTCCTCTAAACCTCCTTCCTCTCCTATTATCTCCCTTCCCTCTACTCTACTTTTCCTCTATTCCTTCCTTCTATTTTCTCCTCTCTTCCCATAAACGGTATCCTTATCCCTGTCTTGCCTCTCCCTCTCTCTCCCTAGCCCATGGCATCCTCCTCCTCCTCCTCCTCCCTTCACATGCCAATATCCTTAACTCTCTCATGGATGCGCCAAGTTATCTGATGATATGGAAGATGAGTTCCCGTCCTCCTTGAGTCAGGTGGATGGCCGTCTCCGGATGAACCTGTGTAATGGGTAGTGTGTACGGGTGCTTTGCTGTAAGGGGGCGCCCGGGAGGCTGGGAATTGGGTGATTGGAAGAAAGGGGCCATGATGCTGCTTTAGGGAAATGGATAATGGTATGAAGGGAGGTTGTAATGGGCCGTTCAGTAATGCTTCACTTGGTAATGTATCGCTTTGGGACGTTGGGATACGACTAGTGTTTTTTTTCTATTAAAATCGTTAAGTCGTTAGAATTTTTGTCATAGTCGTAAGCGGTTTTTTTTTCTCGTTCACATAAGTTTTCCTCTGCTTTAATGGTGGACGTTTTCGTTCGTTATAAGAGAGTTCTCATTGTTTCGCTAATGTTTCGTTGTGGTGGATGTCTGCGTCAGGTGGTGGTTGTGGCTATCAGCGACCATACGAGTCATACATACTCATACTCCGCCCAAGTAAAACAGAAACAAGCAACACTTAGTGGGCCAGCCAGAGGCTTAGGGCCCGCGCAGGAATATCCCTGCAAAAAAAAAAAAAAATCGTCAGAGCGTCCCATAGTGCCACTGTCATTGGCACTACTGTATCTATATAGTGTAGTTGTCATCGTCAGTGCCCCCCCCCCTACCTTGTACCACCATCTTGTGGAGGTTCCGGGTATCAACGGCCCCGCGGCCCGGTCTCCCACCAGGCTTCCTGCTGGGCTGTTGCTATCGTCAATGTCTCCCATAGTGCCGTTTTAACTAGCGTTTCGCAAACATTAAATTAAGATTAGTTTACCCACTTCACAATTACACTCCCCCTAGGGCAGTTCGTTGTTGCTTTCAGCCTCGTTCTGACAGTTCCTGTGACGTCGCTGGAACCAATCGTATTGGCGTTTGCCTTTCCAGTGGAAAGGCGTCGTGGAGAGGCGGGGACCTGCTGCATGGGTAACAGCTTCTCCCCCGTATTAACCTACCCTGGCTTTGTGCCCTGGAGAGGTCACTCCAGGCCGTCAACCAGAACGCAACTTTATAGTTTCCTGAAACTGATGAATGCCAACCACTAATCCCCCTGTTGTTGCTTTTACTATGTTCGGAATTTGCCAGAATTGCAATCGGCATAGTTGTCAATATCCCGTTGTTGCTATTGTTTTAAGTTCGAATTTTGTTCGAAACCCCCATCGGCATCATTGTGTCTGCGTTCCGTTTGATTGTTAGCTCTGCTGGAGTTTCATATTGTTGCGTTTTTGTCTTTGTTTTACGGAAGGGCTGCGGTGTTTTCTGGCTTTGACTTACCGCTGATAAATCACTTTAGCGGGTCTGGCCCGGCTGGCTGGCTGGCGGGGTGCAGAGCCGCTCCAATACCTTCTCTTTATGGGACTTTATTCGTGAAAATTTTGCGGTTTTAAAATATCTTTGTCGTTTTTCGTGTTATATGGGAAATGAGAAATAGACAGCAGTCGAAAGATTCATGGAGGTCAACGACAGCTCCTCTCTCCCCCCCCCCCCTCCACCTCCGCCTCCCTACAGCAAGTATCGGACCATGGGACAAGATCAGTTCAGGGCAAATGAGCTTGCGGTTGTATAGCATCAATAGGATGGGAATGTGTTTGGTGTTAAGAAGGATGGGTTAGGTTCCCCAGCGGATGTGGGTGCAGTTTTGTTTTCAGGGATATTCCTGCGCGGGCCCTAAGCCTCTGGCTGGCCCACTAAGTGTTGCTTGTTTCTGTTTTACTTGGGCGGAGTATGAGTATGTATGGCTCGTAAGGTCGCTTCAGTAAGACTTTGCCATATGTGTTTAACAACTTCTTCTGCTCTGTTGAATCTAAGTTGAAATCTTAATGGGTTTGTAACTGTGCACTGTGTTAGATAATGTTCCAGTGGTCTGTCGGGTGGATGCAGGTGATGGATGGGGTAAGGGGAGGGGGACATAGACGGATTGGGGGAGTACAGTTGAGTGGATGGGAAGAAGAGTGAAGTGGAGATAGTAAAAACACAGGCAAGAAGGTAGCGAAGATGATGGAAGAAAACAAGGTAATATTTAATATTAAATCAAGGAGAACACGAGAAGGATTATTGAAAAGGAAATTGAAAAAAAATAATGGAGCTGTAAAATGCCTATTGGAAGAAAATGGGTCGAAGCAATAGGAGAGAAAACAAGGGAGAAGAATAAAAGAGGGGAAGAACAGCTTCAAAGGAGGGGAGTTTGTTTTGTAGGTGATAAGAGATAGGAAAGGGGGAAGAGAGGGAACTGAGGGGAAACGTATACGAGATAGAAGGTGAGGGGAAGTGCAGGGTTCATTGTATGTTTACATATCACCCCGCCCCCTTTCAAACTTTTTAAAAAACTCTCTTACACCTTAATTATCCGCCCCTTCCACAATGCTAATCCCTTCCCACTTCCTTATGGTCCTTCTCCCATTTCATAATCGTCCTGCTGTCCCGTTTCCTCTTTGCTCCTTCCTCGTTCACTCTTCCACTTGCCTTCTCATACGTTTGTTGCTTTAATTTGCTTGTGTGTATGCTTATATAGCATTATTCATTACTCTTTTATTTTCTCGTATTCGTTGTTTTAGTATCTCTCTCTCTCTCTTTCTCTCTCTCTCTCTGTCTCTCTCTCTCTCTCTCTCTCTCTGTCTATCTCTCTCTCTCTCTCTCTCTCTCTCTCTCTCTCTGTCTCTCTCTCTCTCTCTCTCTCTCTCTGTCTATCTCTATCTCTCTCTCTTTCTCTCTCTCTCTCTGTCTCTCTCTCTCTCTCTCTCTCTCTGTCTATCTCTATCTCTATCTCTCTCTCTCTCTCTCTCTCTCTCTCTCTCTCTCTCTCTCTCTCTCTCTCTCTCTCTCTCTCTCTCTCTCTCTCTCTCTCTCTCTCTCTCTCTCTCTCTCTCTCTCTTTCTCTGTATCTCTCTCTCCTCTCCCTCCCTCCTAACCGTCCCTTTCCTCTCCCTCCCTCCTAACCGTCCCTTTCCTCTCCCTCCCTCCTAACCGTCCCTTACCTCTCCCTCCCCACACCCCCCCCTCTCTCTCTTTTAGCGTTATGGCTGAAACAGCCAAATATCAGATATTATATTAAAACTAAAACGGAGAGGTGACTGAGGCGTAATCGATGGTGTTTGTACAGTCGAGATAAATTGTTGGCGCTGTACAACCAGTCATGAAATAATTGCTGGCTCCGTTGACTGCTGACCTGGGCGTTGTAGATTGATGCTGTTTGCCTATTGCTTGCCAGGTGGAGGGCGGGCGCCAGGATAGGGGAGGAGGAGAGAAAATATAGCAGGGGAGGATAGACAGGTGAGCAAACAGATGGACAGGCGGGATATCAGACTGATTTATGGACCCAGTATAGGTGTATAGAGTTAAGTAAATAGGGGGGGTGCCATATAGGTCTCGTGTTATTTCTTAATACAGGTGTTTACATCATTTGTTATTGGGTATAAATGGAATACACCTTTATTTATGATGGCGGTGTCCTGGGGACTTGCGTAACAGCTGTCATATATGTTGACTGAGGCTGTTATGCGTGTTGCAAAAGCAATCTAAAGTTTTGAAATCCAGAACCGATCATTTCCGGATATGTAGAATGCCGATTAGGATGGTAAGTGGTTAAGTGGCACGGCGCTCCCCCTCCCCTGTTCACCACCACTACATTCCCTTTCCTCCCCCACTCTGTCCATCCACTTGGGGTGGACGGTAGAGCGACGGTCTGCTTCAAGCAGGTCGGCGTTCAATCCCCGACCGTCCAAATGGTGGGGCACCATTCCTTCCTCCGTCCCATCCCAAATCCTAATCCTGACCCCCTTCCAAGTGCTATATAGTCGTAATGGCTTGGCGCTTTCCCCTGATTATTCCCTTCCCCCCCCCCCAATTTCCCTCTCCATACTACCGCCCTTACCCTTGAAGTTACCTTGAGATAATTTCGGGGCTTAGCGTCCCCGCGGCACGGTCCTCGACCAGGACTCCTTTTTGTTACATAACCCCTAGGAAGCAGCCCGTAGCAGCTGTCTAACTCCCAGGTACCTATTTAATGCTAGGTGAATAGACGCATGAAGGTGAAAGAAACTCTGTCCATTTGTTTCCGCCTCCGCCGGGGATCGAACCCGGAACTTTACGAATCCCAAGCGCTGGCCACTCGGCTGTCAGGCCTCTGGCTATAAATATCCTATCATTATTACCCTAAGAATATACCCTCTACATAGACCCTACCCAACACGTCACCATTAACGTTATGCAGGCATTGAAAGCCACGTTAAACACGTTCATAATTAGCGAAAGGCAGAGAGAATGGCACGTAATTTGTTTCTCAAATAAGAACGAAATTGTAATAAAATGCAACATTTTTGGAGTTGGTAAAACCATTGTTTTCACAGAGAGGATATTTATAGCCATCGAGGCAATCGGAAAATTGTATATTGTGTGGGAAATTTTGTTTGAGAATCATCGGAGCATGAACACTTGCCAGTCTCATAAGAGTAAGTGAAATCGAGCATGATCGTTCCGTAGACTTTTGTGCAAACTTGTGTATCCACTTCATATAGTCTAGGGTAGCTGCACTAATGCAGATGTACCTCATTTCTTAATAATAAAATATAAACCGACAAAAATATGATGATTTGTGATACATGTAATTTATATTAAATAATTTTGTTGTTACCTTTCAGCAAATATTAAACACTATTAAGTTAATTGAATGTATTTGATGTGTAAAGAACAGTGGCGTTTGGCACGGTGCCGCGATGAGTGAGTGAACGTGTGGATATTTGTGTGAAGCGAGAGAGGAGGAGACATGTGAGTGTGGGCGTGTTGTTGCCGGCGTGTGACCCCATGTCCGGCGGGCGCCACGCAGCACCCATGACCCAGGAGGTGGGGCGGCGACCTCCTGGGGACCGCCAGGGGACCAAGAAACCCCCCGCCACCTCCGCCCCCTCTCGCACCAGCATGAGCGGCCTCCTCCCCAGCCCTGTCGTCTGCGGCGACGAACCCAGCCTCGTCGCCCTCTTCCAGAACGGCACCTCCAAGCGCCTGGTGGACGGCTACGACAACAACAATGTTAAATACAACGGAGCGGTCAGGCAACAGGAGAACGGCGGCGGCCGCCTCGGCCTCGTGAACGGCGAACGGTCGTCGGATTCCGAAGACTCTGGCGCCACCTCGGGTGCGACGAGCGGGAAGGAGGCCAGTCCCGGGTACGAGGAGAGTTCGGGCTCGGAGCAGAGCAGCAACCCGCCGCTCTCGGAGGAGAACAGAATCGACGAAGATATCGAACCCGCTCCGAGGGTCATCCGGACGTCGTTGCCCAGGTCGCAGACGACGCCGGTCCTCAACGGCGACCACACCCTCGACGACGCCCTCAGGCCGCTCACGCACTACGGGCAGGAGTCGCCCAACAGCGAGAGCGCCAGGTTCAACAATGGCTTAAACCGCATCCGCGCGGCGCACGAGATCAACGTCAGCAAACTGGCCTACCTGGAGGCCTTGTTTCAGCGCGCCAAGCTGGAAGAAATGCGCCTGAAAAGCTTGACAGCGAACACGTCTAGCGGTGATAAACGGACGCACAAGTCGTTGAGCAAAAGCCTACAGAGCCCCGAGAGTGGCTACAAGTCTCTCCCTTCGTCAATCTCGGACTACGGCCTCAGGAGCTACACTTCCGGGACTATCTCGGCCGCGACCGGCAACAGCAGCTGCGGGTCGACGTTACCGGATGGTCAGGCTCTGTTGCGGACGATAGAGAGCCGGCTGCAGCTGGCCCGGCCGCAGGAGAAGAGCAGCGGACGGTCGTTGTACCAGTGTGGGGGCAGCAGCAGTGTGGGCAGCCTCAGCCGGCTCACAGGGCTCAGCCCCAGCACCAGCGGCACCTCCACACCAGCCAGGTTCGTCTCCCCTTCACGAACGGATGTCCCCGGAGCCTCAAGAGGCTCCTCGGCCGCCACCCCCTGCAGCACGCCGGCCACCACCCCCGGCAGCACGCCCAAACGGCCTGATGGCCTGGGCCGCCCTACTGGCCACGTGAGCCAAAGATCGCTGCCACACAGCTACCGCAGCCGGTCGGCTTACAGCTCCCCGGCTGTGTCGCCACAGCGGGGCCCCGACCCCGCGGGGCTCCTGGTCTCTCCCTCAGGCATCGGCTCCGCCACGCGGAGATTCTCCAGCTTAGACTTGCGGAGTCGGGGACAGCTTCGTCAGCTGCCCCTGCGGCACACAGCCCACGGGTTCCCGACGTGCGTCCTGCCCATCAGCCCGCCCTCGCCCGCCCAGGGCACTCAAGCCTTCCACCGCAAGATGCAACTTTTCTTCGAGATTATGGACACGCAATCTAGGTTCTCCCAGGTAGGCGAGAGTGGTCCTCAGGCCTCACCTCGTGGCTACCACTTCCATGCTTAATTAACATCTCCTCGAGCACATTTGGTCAATATTTTAACTTAACATTCCCCCAGTTTCATCATATATATATTGCATCAGATTATTCAGAATAAGCTACTTTTTAAAACCTGCTGAATAAAATAATTGCATTGCATTTCAGTAAGTAAATTATGATGTTATAGATATTACTTGTAGTGTAGGAATGCCCCACCCGAGCTGGTTTAACGGTATTTTATCTTCCCCGAACGATAGTCTAACAACTCTGATTCTTGCAAGATTATTTGATAATTTCGTTTAAGAAATGATAAAAAATGATAAAAAAGTTAGCTTATACGCTATCTTGCTGAGTCATTACTCAATGCTGGGTTATGGAATGTGCTGCTTCATGGAATGAGTCGGTACTCAGTGCTGGGTCATGGAGTGAGTCAGTACTCGGTGCTGGGTCATGGGACGAGTCAGTACTCAGTGCCGGGTCATGGGATGAGTCAAGCCATGAGTCGGGTGAGCTTCCTCCACTGTAACCAAACTTGTTCACATTCGGCCTCATTAACAAGCTTCCCGTGGTGTGAGGTGCAGTGCTCAGCCGCACAGCCAACACAGTGTTCTCTCGTCCTATAGGGCACAGGTAATTTACCAAATGGGAAAATATCGAGGCTGTACATTGGGATGGAAACCTGCGTTCCTAGACGTATCAGGCACACAGCCGACTCCAAGAACGCGGGTTCGATGCCATCAGACAGAAATCATATTTTCCCATAGATACATTACCTTGTGGTTTAATTGTGCATTTACTAAATGTTTGTCTTTCTCGATAAAACTAATACAGCGATACATTGGTGTTAGTTGAACACATGTCACAACTGTACAGAAGTCAAAGGTTATGAATTGTGCAGAGGAATAAATTGAGTAGAAGTCAGAGGCTCAGTATAATTAATTTTGTAGAAGTCAAAAGTTTAGAGTAATTGTCTAAAAGTCAAAGGTTTAGAGTAATTGTCAAGAAGTCAAGGGTTTAGAATAATTGTGTATACGTGAAATGTTTAGAATAATGAACTGCGGAGAAGTGACTCTTAAAATAATGAATTTTGGGGGAAATCGAAAGATTCAGAGTAATGATTGCCAATTTAACAGACATGATAATTTACAAGACATAAAACATTCCTGTTAAGAGTTTGGCGAGGACACACACACACACACACACACACACACACACACACACACACACACACACACACACACACACACACACACACACACACACACACACACACACACACTGCAGGTCTCTTCAGGTCAAAATAATGCATCTCATAGTTCGATCAGATGAGTGTGACTTGCTGTGTCTTCAGCTCAGACTCACTCACTCACCCACACCACCACGAGTACTTGGTAATGAGGCCGCCGCGTCTGTGATATGTCATGTCATGTCCTCTCTAATGTTCAGTCTCGTTCTTCATAGCTCGCTCAGTACTCACCCATTGAGCAGTCCCAGCTAAAGGTAGGTGCAAGTATTTTTTTCCCCTCACACTTTTTGGAGCCTTCTTCTCCCAGTAGATTAGACAGTGACACGCACACAAACACACTCAAACACACACACACATACATACATACATACATACATACATACATACATACATACATACATACATACATACATACATACATACATACATACATGCATACATACATATGTTGTTAAATATGACCGAAAAAGTAAAAGATTAATAATTCTAACACGAATTTTCACAATATTTCTTATGTTTCTTTTTACTGTTGATGGTAATTGAAAAATCAATTCTCCAAAATTCATTTTAATTTCTAGTCTGACGCGACACTTGAACGCGTTTCGTAATAACTTATTTCCTTTTCTTATTACATACATACATACATACATACATACATACATACATACATACATACATACATACATACATACATACTTACATACATAATCTTATAGTTACGATGATTGATTTGAATGTAAAATAAAGAGAATGTACCTTACGTTGGAAGTGAATTTCAAGTCTTAAAGAGTTATCCAGTGGCATATTTCATAGGATTATTTTTATTGTCCTACAAAAGAGGTTGCTTTTATTGCACTTTATTACCAGGTAAACTTTGCCACACCTGTCAATCACGTCCAGGTTTACCCGCCCGTGACGTCTGATACCTTCTCTTTAACACACAAACATGTATAAGATTTTTCAAAGGGACAGGAAGGCACCTTTTTTTATAATTAAGACAATTTTTCAAAGAATTTTGCAACACAAGATAATTGATGTATTGATTAGTTTTAATTTTCGCATGGCGTTAGATATTCCTTCAAGTATATTACGTAGTTTAATAGTATTACAGTAATATTAAAGTTTATTAGTAGTAATATCATAGATTATTATTATTATTATTCCAGTTATCTATAAAGGGTATAGTGAAGCTAAAGTAACGTCACTATAATCTTACTAACTTAGCACTTTCTCTGATAATTGCCTTCAAAGGGTAACTTCATCATTTGGTTATTAATTGAGAGGATTGACTATTTAAGCACATTATTTGACCGAATTGTAACAACAATTTTCCTTTTTCATAGGTAAGCGACGACTCTCTCCTCGCCATCTTGTGTGTGACGTAAGTACACTTTAAGGTATTTCAGTAGCAGTGTAGCAGTGCTTAAGGTGCTGTAGCAGTCACTGCTGGGTGCCCGTCTCCACGCTGTGAGGGGAGGATTAGTATATATATATATATATATATATATATATATATATATATATATATATATATATATATATATATATATATATATATATATGTCGTACCTAGTAGCCAGAACTCACTTTTTGGCCTACTATTCAAGGCCCGATTTGCCTAATAGCCAAGTTTTCATGAATTAATTGTTTTTCGACTACCTAACCTACCTAACCTAACCTAACCTAACTTTTTCGGCTACCTAACCAAACCTAACCTATAAAGATAGGTTAGGTTAGGTTAGGTAGGGTTGGTTAGGTTCGGTCATATATCTACGTTAATTTTAACTCCAATAAAAAAAATTGACCTCATACATAATGAAATGGGTAGCTTTATCATTTCATAAGAAAAAAATTAGAAAAAATATATTAATTCAGGAAAACTTGGCTTATTAGGCAAATCGGGCCTTGAATAGTAGGCCAAAAAGTGAGTTCTGGCTACTAGGTACGACATATATATATATATATATATATATATATATATATATATATATATATATATATATATATATATATATATATCTATCGTTAATATAAATGATTAAGTTTGTATCCCATGCGCGTTCGGACACCGTTGACCGTAATTCGGCCAACGCTAACTGGAATTCGGACACGACTGACGGTAATTAGCACACGGATATGTAGAGGCGGAAGGGGGTAGGCAGAGAGGGCGGTGGATAGGTAGAGAGAGCGGGAAATAGGTCGAGAGGGAGGGGTCGAGAGGGTGGGAGGATAGGTAGAGAAAGCAGTGGATACATACAAAAAGTTTGGATTGATGAAAATTACTGTAATTGGCTTAGTGTGTTAGTAGGGGGCTGTGAATAGCTGTTGATGGCCAGGAATACATGTGGGTGGCTGGGTGAGGCAGCCGTGGATGCCAGAGACACTTCTCTTCCAAAATAATGCATGACTCCATATGAAGTTTTGAAAGAGTGAGAGGGAGACAAAGAAGGATACAGGTAAATGTAGAAAGATGAAGACGAGGCATACAGAGATACTGATACAGATACAGTGAGACAGAGGATATAGATAGTGAGACTATAAGAGTAATACAGTGAGAGGAGATACACAGAGTGATACAGAGGGGGAAGATACAGAAAGTGAAATAAAGAAAGCGTTAAAACTGAGATTAAAAAAAATAGAGACATAAAAACAAAGCTGCAGGAAACTCCCTCATGAATATTTAATTGCATAGTCTCTGATTTTTGGCGTTGGTGCTTTCTGGTGCAAGGAGCGAGTTGCAACAATCAGGTAGACCTACTGCGCCCTAGGTGCGTGGACTCACCTAGTGGTGTTTGCGCGGGTTGAGCTTCGGCTCTTTTGGTCCCGCCTCTCAATTGTCAATCAACTGGTGTATACAGATTCCTGAGCCTTTTGGGCTCTTATCATATCTACATTTGAAACTGTGTATGGAGTCAGCCTCCACCACATCACTGCCTAATGCATTCCATTCATTAACAACTCTGACACTGAAAAAGTTCTTTCTGTTGTCTCTATGGCTCATTTGGGTACTCAGTTTCCACCTGTGTCCCCTCGTGCAGTACCACGCTTGTTAAATAATCTGTCTTTATCTATTACCTTGTCAATTCCCCCCTGAGAATTTGATATGTGGTGATCATGTCTCCTCGAGCTCTTCTGTCTCCCAGCGACGTGAGGTGCAGTTCCCTCAGCCTTTCCTCGTAACTCAAGCCTCATGTGTACATACACGCATGTGCACATTGGTCAGGTATATATCAAAGTGTGTGCGTACCGTGCTGGTGATGTCTCAGGATGAATAGGGTTTTCTACTCACATGTTCTTTCAGGTTCTCCTTACAGTCTCCTCTATCGTCTTGATGTGTACCTTAACTTCCGGTGGTTTCGAGAAACTAAGATGGCTGGGATGTGAGGACAGGCGAAGGAACTTGAACGTTGCATCATTAGAAAATAAACGAGTCAAAACAGAGGAGATCAGTGTAGGAAAAGAGCCATTGATATGCACCAGGAAATCTAAGTGAGAATACTGAGCGTGGGTAGGAAAAGAGGGCACAGGTGGAACTTGAAACTGAGATGAGTAGGAGAGACACGATGAAGCATTCCTTCAGTGAACGAGGCTCAAGTGAGTCCTGGAATGAGGTAATGGAGACGAGCTTCACAGAGCGTCGAGTGAAGCTGCGAGAGAGGACACAAGGCTGCACAGTGGTCTCGAAACCCGGACTGATTGCTGAGAGGCAGAGCCCAAGCAGCAAGCTTATATTACCTGTGATCACAGATAGGTATTCACACGCACGCGTGTACGCAAGCATTCAACACACACACACACACACACACACACACACACACACACACACACACACACACACACACACACACACACACACACACACAGTCACACTCTCACTTACACGCTCACTATTTCTTTTCTCTTTAAGTCAAGTGAAATCCAACTCTTTAGTTTTAGCTTATAATTTAATTCTGGCGGTTCTGGTATGAACCCCATTGTATATCATGTACTTTTTCTAGAGTGTGTATATATATATATATATATATATATATATATATATATATATATATATATATATATATATATATATAATATGAAGCTGAGTGTGGTCCTCAAGCAGATATGCAACCGAAAACACCTCACCCCTGAAGGATACGAACCCAGACAGCTAGGGCTCCATGTATCTTAGCGTATCGAGTACTATATCCCTTAGACCATTCTGACTGTACAAAAAGGCCTCTTTCAAGAGGCCGTCCGACTCTTGAAAGCCGAGGCGGGTGTTAAGGCAGCCACTTCCCTATCACCACTCTGTAAAATTGGCCTGACTGGCCTCGTGTATAGTTTCTGAAACAAAAATATTTTTATTACTCTTATATCGACAAAAATCTCTTTACGGGCCTCTTTAGCTCGGAGAAAATAATATCAATTTTAACCGCAAATGGCCGTGGTTATAGTTTCCTTAATCGTGGGTCGGTAACCTTAACCATTTCAGAGGCAGTTAGGTCAGAGGAGGTCGTTGGAGGCGGGGCGGGAGTAGGCCTAGTGACCGGGTTCTCTTTTTTTCCTTGATATTTAACAGTTTGTAATTCTTACTCTTTACCGGAGCTTCGATTCAACGATTCTCCGGTTAGGTTGGGGAGGGGGGGGGGTTGGAATTTTGTTGTGTCCGTTTTGGATTTTTTTTGTCTGTTTTGGATTTTTCTGTCCGTTTTGGATTTTTTTTGTCCGTTTTGGAATTTTTTTGTCCGTTTTGGATTTTTTTTGTCCGTTTTGGATTTTTTTTTGTCCGTTTTGGATTTTTTTTGTCCGTTTTGGATTTTTTTTTGTCCGTTTTGGATTTTTTTTTGTCCGTTTTGGATTTTTTTTGTCCGTATGCTGTATTTAAAATACAATACATACAGCAAGGAAAATTTGTTAATAACAAGTGCGAGGTGAACCATTAACCGTAAAAGTTGTAGAGAAGCTGACTGGTGGATGAGGTGGTGGGGGATTGGCGGTCGTTTTGGTGGCCAGTAATGGTATTTAAAAAAAAAAGAGTTTTGGCCAAGAGTCAGCTGACTTGGACAGCTGAGAGGTGACGCGCCGGAGACGGTGTTGCTAATATTCTAAAAGTGACATAAGGCGGTCCAGGTGAAAGTGATATATTGGTAGCAATAGCAGCTTCCATTAGTAATATTCCGAATGACAAGATAGCAACAATGGTAGTAGAGTTGGCAGCAACTTTGGTAAGAGTGATGATGGCTTGAAGAGTAGCATCATCATGGTACTGGGGAACATCATCATGGTACTGGGGAACATCATCATGGTACTGGGGAACATCATCATGGTACTGGGGAACATCATCATGGTACTGGGGAATATCATCATGGTACTGGGGAACATCATCATGGTACTGGGGAACATCATCATGGTACTGGGGAATATCATCATGGTACTGGGGAACATCATCATGGTACTGGGGAATATCATCATGGTACTGGGGAATATCATCATGGTACTGGGGAACATCATCATGGTACTGGGGAACATCATCATGGTACTGGGGAACATCATCATGGTACTGGGGAACATCATCATGGTACTGGGGAACATCATCATGGTACTGGGGAACATCATCATGGTACGTCACAGGTGTTAGTAATTACGGCAAGGAAATGGACGTATTGTAGCAACACTGGCGAGCTGAAGATGAGATGAGGCTGGGTATCCCATATCCCATTAGTGATGTCAGGTTAGTGACGTCAGGTGGGATAGCACCCGATACCTCACTCCTACATCCCTCCTTCCCATAACCCTCTTCTCCCCCCCACACACTCCTCTTTGCCTACCCCTTCCCACCTACCATGGCTTACAGGTGTAATTTTTGAGCTGTGGGGGCGGGCGGGTCTATCCTACACACCCATTGGATTGTATATTACCTCTTTTTCCACACCTATGCCAGCTGGCTCCTGGTACACTGCTACACACCCACGCCA